ATTGAAAATATCGGCAAAGAAAAAAGACATCTGAGACGAATATGGCAAAAGCATAGATCTCCTACAAATAAATTCAAGTTTTTGGCAGTTAAACAACACCTAAAAAAGCATTGCTCACAGAGATGGAAAATAGTCCGAACACTTACGTACGAAAGTTAACACCTACAGAAAGTACGAACTATTCCCGCTTAGGCAAGCCGCCGAATAATGGGTTAGGAATGAAGAAGATAAAGCAAATGTTTTCGCAGACCATTTAAGCCAGGTATTTTACCAAATCCCCCTGACTAATAACTTCATACTACCAATCCAAGCTCCTCTATTCTGTTATGAGCCTCTCAAACTCAAAACCAAATAGATCAAGCATGTTGTAAAAACCACGGGATTTGACCACATTTCAGCAAAACTGATAATAGAGTTACCTCAAATAGCTTTCAAAATATTGACAAAAATATTCATCGCAATATTTCGACTTGGATAATTTCCACAAAGTTGAAAAATTTCGCAAATTATAATGATTCCAAAAGCAGGAGAAAACTTAACATTAGAGTCTTCATATAGACCCATAAGCCTTTTACCAATACTGTCAAAACTTTTTGAACGAAGTTTTGAAGTTACGGCTAAACCACAAAGTGTTGCTATATAATAGTTCACAGTTTAATGTTCCTCCAACATTGAGTTAATTCAGCGTACTCAATCTAAAATCCTTCGCTTTATTACAGGGGCTCCGTGGTATATAAGAAGCGATAAAATTCATGAAGATCTGAAAATACCACTTATCAAAGATGAACTTATTAAAATCAAATACATGTACAAACAAAAACTTAAAATTCATCCGAACCATCATGCAAGGAATCCACTGCTAGACCGGCATTGTTCAAGATTACGCACAAAAGATGTACCAACGCACCAGTAGCGAGGCGTCGGCTTTTTAGCAAGGTGTTCACTATTTGATCAAAACAGAATTCCAACTATAACGTATTCCCCCTACTCCTGAGTTTTGTCCTTTCCTCAAGCAAATAGCGTACAAGATCAAAACACTGATTTTCCACTGGTTTTTATGGTAAATAGTTCGCAGCCTGTGATCGACTGGTTTTTATGGTAAATAGCTGTAGGAAAACGGCGACTTACCACAGATTTCGACATTTTTACACCAGGTACCAAATTCTTCATATCTGGAGCTGGTCTATTCATTTTATGAATTAAAACCTTTTTTTCAGAAGATCGTTTAAAAAAAGATATTTGAATCCAATCATCCATTTCTAAATATTATTTTTCACTTCAAATTTCTTTAATTTTTTTTTTTACTTTTACCATTTGCTAGTATAAAATTGCAATAATGACTTTGTTTTTGGTTTATTTCCAACCTCTACATAGAGTAAGAAACTCTCATGCATTCATTTACTCTTTTCCTTTGTATTTACATGCGGAGTTCAGTTTTTTTACTGAACCATTTGCCCTATATAAAACGGCACCCGTTACTTTGATTGTATTTGCACGCTTTGTATGAACTTGCGGTTCAGTTTAGTCGACTGAACCTCTAGACAAATGTAAAGCGATTTTCGCTCAGTCATTTCTTTTCTCTTTTATATTTACTTTGCATAACATTGGAGGTTCACTTTTTTTATTGAACCGCTTGCACGCATTAATTTAAGACTTATGATTATTTTACGAACTTATTTTGCGGGGCTTGTTTTCTCTTTTATTTTTATGTTTGTTTGTGTGTTTTGTGTTTATTCAATACTGAGCATAGTCCCAATGTGAATATTTTTTCATTTGCATACTCATAACTGCTGAAATTCTTAAAAAACTTCCAGATGTTGCTTTAATATTTATTACTCATCTTTTCAATGCATCCTTGTTAAAAAGTTTCATCCCAGATCAATGGAAAGTTGCCGAAATAAAGATGATACTAAAACCAGGGAAACCAGCTGAAGATATAAAATCCTATCGTCCAGTAAGTCTTCTTCTCATTCTTTCAAAAGTTATTATTTTTAAAACGTCTTATGCCGGTAAAAGAGTGAAGAAGAGAGAAGAAAACACTCAACCATTGAGCAAATTCATAGAATTGTTGAAAAACTACAGACCACTTTCGAGCGAAAAGAATACTGCTCAGCAGCGTTTTTGAACATATCTCAACCGTTTGATCGAGTATGGCACCAAGGACATCTTTACAAATGTAAAAAGCTTCTGCCACTTAACTATTATACGTTCATAAAAGCGTATCTATTGAAGAGACTCTTTTATATCAACAATGAGAATGAAATGTCTTCTCTACATGGCAGTGTACTCGGTCCAACCCTTTATTTGCTTTTCACATACGATTTACCGAAGACGGTACGAATTGTAACCGGCACATTTACAGATGATACAGCTATCCTGGCGAGTGCAAACGATCCCTCTGTAGCCTCTTTCGTATATCAAAATGGTTGCAGTATTGGCGCATAAAAGCAAATGAAACAAAATCTACTCATGTTACATTCACAATGAGAAAAGACACCTGCGCAGAAATTAAACATAATAATATAATAATTCCGCAATCAAATGGCGCTAAATACTTGAGCATGCACTTAGATAAACGTCTGATATGGAAAACACATATTTTTAACAAAAGTAAATCCTTTGGGATTCAATACAGAAAAATGTTTTGGCTACAGAATAAAAAATCTTCAGTATCTCTAAAGAATAAACTTATTTATATAAAAGTGTGCTAAAACCAGTATGGACCTATGCCATTCAATTATCGGGAACAGCCTCAACATCCAACATAGAAATTCTTCAAAGATTTCAATCTAAAACTTTACGAGAAATAGTAAATGCTCCATGGTATGTAACTAACATTCAAATCCATCGGGACCTTAGGATAATCCCGGTAAGAGATGAAGTAAAAAAGGTAGCTAGAAAATACCATGAACGAATACAAATTCATCCCAACATCCTTGCTTCGAATTTGATGTCCCCCTCAAATATATTTACGAGAATGAAAAGGAAAACGCCGCTTCAAATTTTATTATAAAAATGAAATTTTATTATAAAAATCTTAAATTAAAAAGAAAAGAGTAGCTCTCTACAGGGAGAACTACTTTAATTGTAAATGATCAAGTCTCAAATAGTATTTATTAAAAAATTGTGAAATGTCACCATAATATGTGACAGAATACATATTGAATTTAAATTAAATAAAAAGAAAAAAAAACAAATTTGCATGCTTTGTAAGCAGCGCGGTGCAGGTTTATTCTGAACCTTAGTATAACATATTTGAAGAGGAATGTGTTTTCTCTTTTATTAATTATATGTAATGTTGGGTGTAACTAACATAT